GCGACAAGTTGCGGTTAATTGCGATTAATCCTTCTAATTAAAAGGGGAGGGAGGACAGAAGGTGGCCTTTTGTCGAAACGGGACGCGTTAATTGGATCGAGGGGGATATCTCTTGGACTAGAAGAAGAAGAAGGGATCGTGCGAGTCCGGGACACCCGTTAGAGAGAACTTGTTGCGCGAATCGGGAGAAAGAGAGAGAGAGAAAGAGGCAAGCCCTCGAAAAGGGCCGCCAGCCTGGCTTGTATTGATCCAACAACCGTCCGTGCATCGTTGCGCTACCGGTGTTCCCCAACGTCGACTCCTCTTCTCGTCACGCTCAAAAAACCATCCAACCACCAACACACTTTCGTTTCTTTATTCTCCTTTTTTTTTTTTTTTTTTTTTTTTTTTTTCTTTCAATCGTTCGCTTTTTCAAACCTCTCTACCGTTGGCCAACCGATCATCACCGCGGATCACGAGCACACGTTAGACGCGAATGGCGAAACACTTCTTAGCAAGAGCGTGCAACAATGCCAACCGAATGGAAAGTAAAACGTCGAAGCGAAATACAAAATAAAGTCTAAAGTCTTATTGCGTATTCGGTATATTCGACGTTATATCGTTTTCTCAAGTATGGATTCTTTTTTTTTTTTTTTTTTTTTTTTTTTTTTGTTTTAGAAAGTTGTAGAGAAGAAGAAAAAAAGAGGAAAAATTTTGGAACGCGTTCAACGAATGCTGTTGCCAATCTGGCAAAGACTTTAAACGTTTTCTTCGATCGAGGCTGACACGTAGCGGGAAAGAAGGATTCGAAATTTTGAGAAAAATTATCCGCCGATTGTTGGACGGATAAAAATTCTCTCTCGGGGATAGAATTCGATAACGCAAGCTTTCTGGCAAGCAAAAAGTAGCACGACCGATCCGAGGAAATGGGACACGACGAGGTGTCGGAGTGATATAGAGATCCCCCCCCTCGTTGATCCACGTTCCACTTTCGACCAAGCTGTTTCTCAACCCTTCGCTGTTTCTCTCACCCGCCCACGTTCTCCGCGAATTTTTATAAGAGAAGCTTTATGGACGAGTCACGAGTCGAGTTCCCGCGAGAGCTGAACGCCACGCGAGAGCCGAGGCCGAACGCCTGGATAGCTCGTCTATCCAGAGTTGCGAGCTTTCTAAACTCGCGGTTGCGACACATCGCAGTTGCGAGCGGCGTTTTTGCTCACGGGAAACCCTCCTCCCCCCTCCCGCGCTCGACAACACCGCCTCCGCGCCCACCTCCTCGTTAACTGGCGCATTTTATGCCGCGCCACAATGCGCCGCTTTTCCTACGTTTAGCCGCCCACGTGCCGCGCCGATCCACTCCCCCCTCCTCCCTCCCACCACTCCTCTCCTCGAACGCAACCGTGTCATCCTCGTGAAACGAGCTCCCGATACGAGCGATCGTTGGATTACGTGTTACGCGTGTACATGATGTATCGACCTTGAGAGATATGGAAAGAGTTGGAAAGAGTATCGAAGGAAGGAAGAGAGGAGAAGAAAGATGGAGGCGAAGGGGAGAAAATACAGCGCAGCACGGAGAGGAGCGGGCGAAAGAGAAGACGCGGCGTGGCCGCCGAAACCGAAACCGAAACCGGCCAACCTTTACCTTCACTTCGGTTTGCCGGCTGTTCCACTCGTTTCATTCACGAATTTCACTTTCACGGCCACGGCCATGGCCACGCGATTCGCGTCGCGACCGCTCCACGATCGCCCCCGCTGCTTCTTTTCTCCTCTCCTCTCCTCTCCTCTCCTCTCCTCTCCTCCCCCCTCTCGCTTCGTTTCTCGCCTCAGCGCTCGTCCCAGCCTCTGGACTCGGCCGACCGAGAAAAAATAAACCATGCGGACCGACCGAGAAGAAACACGCGCTCCACGGCTATCCAACGTTTTTCCAACCGAACCGATTAAACTTGTACGTTTCTCCCTCGAACGAGCCGCCTTTCTTTCCATTTCCAATGCATCCATTGACGAGGAAAATGATCGTTCATTCGCTTCTAATAATACTCTGATAATGAATCATCGGGATCATCGAGATTCGATCGAGCGAAAGTTTTATCGTGGCAACGTACTCCAACGGATCCATGATTCTATACATTGTTGTCGATTCGAGGTTAAAAACGCGTTAAAAATAATAAAAATAATAAAGTTTGTTGAAACACGAAGCTTTTCGATCGAAAAACGGAACGAGAGGGACGAAAACACGAGAAGAGGGCAGTGATTAGGTTGGCGAAGTCGGTGCTATCTGAGGCCGAAGATTAACGAGCGTCGAACCGAATTCGGCCGATTATCCGAACGCATTGGAGGCGCGATAAGGCTGGTATGGAAGACAGGCCGGCCCGTGAACCGTGCGAGATGCCAGGCCAGCCACCGCCGATTACAACACGAAAAACAGCCTCATCCAGTTGGGCTTGGCCGCAGCGGGAGTCGCCTCTCCCCTCGCTCTCGCGGCCATGAAAATATTACCAGAAGGACCGTAGATGGCCCCCGTACTTAGGCGTGAACCACCGGGACTACGATTCGAAAGGATGCAGTCCTCGAGTGCCTCGTAAATTACGGGCGTACGTTGCACTCGAGAGACGCGCATGTTCGTTTTGTATCGCCTTTGCCCGATTCCTCGAGCCCGTTCTCGATACGTGACGCTTGTGCAAACCGTTCCCTCGATTATAGACACGATTACGACTGAATGTCGCTTCGTGTTTCGTCTACCGAAAATATTACTTTGTTCTCTCTTTATAATCTCGACGAGAAGAGAAGCGAATGTACTCCGTCCGTTTCCTTGTCGCCTTCTACTCGGTCAGTGATCACGTGTCCATCGATCGATAATGTTGATAATGAACCAATGTCGATGAGTAAAAGAAGTACGAATCACGATACGAGATAAGGATGAGTCGTCATCAGAGAATTAAATTTGTCCACGATCGTGCAATTAATCTTTTGGAAAAAAGAAATGGAAGAAAGAAAGGACTACGACGAAGAGAGTACAAGGAGCGATAGCGGGTATCGTCGAAGAAGGGCTGAAACAAAGGGAGACACGAACGTGCTTGGTATCTCGGATCACGTGAGCGAGCACAAACTTCCAATGAAATTCGTTCGAAGCGACTCGTTCGACTAGTTTTCATGTTTCGTTGATAAGACGAAACCGACGACAAATTTATTTTACGATGAAAGCTAACGATCGACCATCTTTTTCAAACCACATATCCTCATCCAAACGATATATTTAATAAAGTATGTCTATAAATGGCAAAATGAAAAAAAATGAATATTTTTATATTTTAATTTTTTATAATCATTTGGTTGAAAAGTCAAGCGTGAGATCAAGTATTCTTGTGTTAAAATCTAAAAATTTGTAAAAAATGAAATTGATCGATTTGACTTCTGAATGACTCGGTATATCGAAAAAAAGAAAAAAGAAAAAAAATGAAAAAGGAAAAAAGCACGTTTACGTTAGGTTTCTCAGTAACTAGATAATCGTTATCGAAGTTAAACGTAACTATCTCTAGGCGAGCGATTAAACCAAACGAAAAAAACATTGTTATGCGCGGATGCCAGGTGTAATTTAACAAGCAGGGATCGTAGCCGAGTGAAATACACTGGCGACCTAATGAAAAGCAAGCATGAAGAAATATACAAGAGAGATAAACGCAACGAGTTGCTAAAACAACCGGATTCAAGATTCGCGGGGAAAAATAAACTTGCTCTCTTTACGATAAACTGTTGCTTAAAATATTGGCTGACAGAATTTCCACTTAACGATAGTAATTCGAAAGAAGATTAATATATGAGTAAATTCAAATCGCGTATTTCGGAAATGCATAACAGCTGAAGAAACGAAGAAGAAAAATAATCGCGAATTCAGCAGCAAGGTTAGGCGGACAACGCGTAATACTTTCCCTAATCGATTAACAAAACGGAAGTTTCGTCTGGACGTTGCTTATAATAGAAACACGAAAGAATAATAACGCAATCGTAAGATTATACATTTTCTTCCTAAACGCTCGAGTTTAGTACCTTCAGAGAAGAACCGTTAGGATACTAAATTTTTATTACGTTCCAATCGAAGTTCAACGTATCCGTCGTGGAATGCACGAAAGCTATAAACTCGTTACAAAGAAAATTAGAAAACTCAGAAATATAGAAAAATATTAATACGTTTTGGCGAGTATAATAAGTTCCATATTTGAAATAAATAAGTCACGAAACTATACATTGTTGATCTTTTCGACCAATAACCGGAAAGCAAAAAGTCATTGTCATTTTTTTCGGATAGCAACAGAGTCGTGAAACGCACTCTTTTCTACCGTGATATATAATAAGTTCGCGTAGAACGAGGACCAGATACGGAGAGGCCAAAAAGAGAAAGAACGAAACACCAAGAAGAAGAGGGAGCAAAGAGAGAAAGGAAGAACAAGAGGGCGAGTTGGCAGCATCTACGAACCTATAAACACGCCGCGCACACAGATCGAACGCAGCCACGGTTGTCGGTCTCGTAACCGCGGTACAACGACCTCTGGCCTGCTGTCGAACGCGCCTTCGCGCTAATTGCGATCCCCGAACATTGGACCGAGACTTATTCACCAACAGAAGTATATTTCTCTAACGTCCAGATTATTCGATTGAAAACATTGAGATTCGTCGTGTAATTCTGTTTATTTGTACACTTTGTTACCTTCGCGTTCTTTCGTGGAATACAAGTGGCTCCTCTCGACAATGCGGAACTGTCGAGGAAAAAACTCGTCTGAAGAAACGTAAACATAACATACACGACTGACCAAATGCTCTCGATTCACGATCGTAAATATTATATAGGTAAAAAAAACGCATGTTCAAATAAGAGAAAGAAATCGGAATATGAAACGAAGACAAATACACGGTTTTCTAGTTACTCGTCGTCTAGTTTCTCTCGTTCGTTTTTTCTCTACTGCCTCGTGCCTCGTTTCTCGAGGCGTCCGTCGAAACACGACAGAGAAACTCTCTCGCTCACTCACCTGTCAGAACTCTCGGAGCTATCGTATCGATCGGCGCACCGCTTCTTCCCACAAGGGCCGACGAGGGTGTCCTCGGCCGTCCTAACCTGTCCCTTGAAAGGGCTACCCTGATGCCTGCCGGCAACGAGGCCATTTGCAGTAACACCAGCGGCACCAGCAGCACCACCGCCAGAAGCAGAAACAGCAGCAGCGGCAGCAGCAGCACCACCACCACCACTACCACTACTACCACCATCACTACTACCATCACTAGCAATGCCGTCCGTCGTTTTTCGTGCGGCGTCCTCGTCATCTCTATCGGGCTCGCTACTCTTATCGCATCCGAGACGGCTCACTTTTTCTAACGCGTGCTCGTCCTCGTCCCCGTCTTCGTCCTCATCGTTGTCGGGATTTACACGGCACTCGTTCATTTTGCTCGCATTCTCCTTTGGAGCATTCGAATTGAGAAAAGCACCGACGACCGCACATCTCGACCGTCGACCGTCGCCGACCAAGCACCCGGCATTGTCACCGCGCGTCGCGTGACCGGTCATCGCGCCACCCTCATCACCACTGTTACCACTATTATTATTACTACTACCGTTACCGTTACTATTACTATTATCGCTATCGCTCTCTTCATTTTTCCCTGTCTTTATGACATCAATTCGAGCACCGCTGCGACACTTTTTCGATATACCCTTCTTCACTCCATTTTCTTCTTCTACCTCCTCTTCCTCCTCATCCTCTTCATCGTCATCCTCGTCGTCATCGTCATCGTCGTCGTCGTCTTCTTCCTCGTAATCTTCACTGGTCGGTGACGTAAACGGAATAACGCACATTGTATTAACACAAGCACTACTACCATTTTCATTTTTACTAACGCGCTCGTTACCATCGAAGTTTTCATCCTCGTGCTCGTGACGACGATGATAGTGATGATGATGATTATTGTGGTTGATATTACCATTGTTATTGTTGTCGTTGTTGTTGTTGTTATTATTATTATTGTTGTTGTTGTTGTTGTTGTTGTTATTACTATTATTAGCGTTACTAGAATGCCGACGAGAAAGATGAAGATTGGTATGACAATTACGACGGAGAGGACGATATTGATGTTGTTGCCAATGATGAGGATGATTCTCGAGTATCGAAGCGTCTTCGTGGATGCGTCTCGCGATATCCTGACCCGTGCTCAAGGACGTCATCGAAGACGAAGCGTCCTGACGTTTGTGTCTCTCCCTCGTTAAACGAGAATCACTGTCCCCTAGGTCGGTGGCCGCGTCTTCCGCGGACGGACCGTCTGCCATCTTGTAAACGATTGCACTATTGCCTGGCAGAGGCCCTATAGCACGAGCACGGGCCGCGCCACCGCTAGCTCGATTCTACGGCCCGGCACGGCTCACTTAACCCCTCTTTTCTTCACCTTACAAAACCACCGCCACCTCTCGCCGACAGCTACCCACTGACGACCCCCACTCCCGAAGCTGCCGACGCCTGCTCCGAAACTAAACGGCAGTATCCGAAAGATATCGAAATATTCCGATCATGCACGAACACCCTTCCCATCTAACCATTCGGCCGCTTCTTGCGACACATCGCGGCCGTTTCGATCTTTATTTTTTAGCGGGAAAATTGAAATAGATTCTATTGTAATTTTTTCCGTTTCAAGTATTCCAAAAGAATATATTGGATGCAGAATTAATATTAATAATATTATATGCGCACAAGCATAAGTATATACATATAAGAACCATTTGATTTGTTATATATTTTTTATTTATTCAGAAAAATTTTGTATGACAATCCAAGAGGATATTATTTCTAGTACATCGTAATACTGTTAAACGATGAGCACCATCGGATTTATTCACGTCCTGGAATGTAATTCCAAAATAAAAGATGCATTGTCTAACGTAAGCTATATATAGGCAGTATGTTAAATATGCTACATAAGCTTCTTTCTGTACACGCGTATATACACGATACATGATATACAGAATTCATATGTTAATTTTTTACTAATTCCTTTATATATGAAATTTATCGACGTGCTACTCGTTTCGAAATTTCTTTCAAATTTTTATCTCTCCTATTCTTTACATATACATCTGTAATTAGTCGAAAATATGTGCGACATTATAAATACAAGTTATAAACGTAAGAAAAATATCAAATTAATTTTATTTAACGTGCGATCGTTTTATCGACTTTGTCTTCGATCTAAATTTATTCATTGTTTCCTGGAATGTGCGTGCTCGAGCGCATTACTGTATATTGTATACTGTAAAAATATTTATTTTGAGCATAACATTGATCACATATTATTCAAAGCAACTGAAACTTAAATTAACAATAAACAATTTGTCAAATGAATATTGTCTTTTGATTGAATAAGATTAGGCACAAGACAGGCACTTCAATACTTTGTAACAATTGAAATCCACAAAGATTCTAATTTATCCTGAACACTTTTTTATATATTTCGTTGAAAATCTCTTGTGCAAATAATCTATCATAATATTTGAAAAAAAGTTAGTTAATTTAAATTATTGAACAATTATTGCTTGAATTCTTTTAAATTTTTTATATTAATAACTACTTAATATGTAAAAAATAAGAGTTAAATAATTAATATAATTAAAATAAGAATTAATCTATATGTATAAGCCTTTTTTTTTTAAATATTAGGTAGCTATAATTCACTTATAAAACGCAAATATAGAAAACTATTATATAAGGCAATATTTGATAACAATGATCTTATAATTCTTGTCATTTTACAATACGTAGAATTTGAAGTGAGAGGTATACCGGTATATATATATTTATATATATATAGTAAATTCATTGTTTAAATATAGCAACAATAATTTTCGATGTTTGCACTTATATATGTAATCTTTGGATGTTTAATATGATATTTGAGTATCTTTTTTATTGAAAGTAAATATCAAATATCTTGTCCATATTGTAACATATCTTGTCCATTCTATATATTTCTAAATATATTAATATAAATTATTCTAAATATAAACATTTAGAAATTACATAGGATAGAAAAGTTTTGTTTGCAAAATGGAAAACAAGATTTACAATATACATAAAATAGCAAGTTTTCAAACATTCTGCTTGTTTTACGTATATGTAAAACATTGTTGTAATTTTCTCTCTTCTTTTTTTTCTTTTTTTTTTTTTTTTACAATGAAAATGCTTATAAATTTCATCTAAATTAATTCTATGTAGTTTCACTCTTTTTTTAATCACAAATTATGATTAAACCTGACTTATATAGATGTCCATCATTTCTTTCTATTTCCTCAATACAATATCAATATCTAGTAAAAAAAAATTCGTATATAAACTAATATATATTTAGCCTTATATATAGAGCTTGTGAATCATCTGAATCAATCTCGACAAGAGATAAAAGAGCGCGTCAAAATTCGCTTAAGTACTTTTCTTCGATCTCTCGATTGATCGGTAGTCTTCTTATTTAAATATCATATACAGAAATACTTTATTACGTTTAATTTTCTTTCAACGTTCTTTCGCAAGTTGAAATTAAACTTCAATGATATACCATTTGTGATCCTGCTAAACACGATCATTTCCGTTATCCTCCTCGTTTACTCCATGCATCATAGATAAACGCGACGTATTCGCCATATCTGTTAACAGAAGGTGCTCATCCAGGGAGCCCCTCGAATGTTCATCTATCAAATTACTATTATGCCCGCTGGTGCTTCTAGCCAGTCTTCGTACAACTTTCTCGCGCCTTTGTTTCTCCCTTTTCGATTTTAATTTCGAGAACTCGTCATCAGAATTGATGCTACTACACGACGAGGTACGAGTACTGATAAGATCACTGCCGATTCCGCTTCCGACGCTCGTTGCCGGTTCATAAATAATGCTCGAACGCGCCGATTGCGTGGTCCTTTGCGTTCTACGATAAAAAATATAATCGTCTGATGATCGAATGATTATTGTTGTTATTATTATTATTATTATTATTATTATAAGAATATATATTATATATTATATTATATATTATATATATTATTATAAGAAAATTATAATATATAATCATAACAATTATAATTAATATTTCCATTAATTATAATACCAGCCTTGAATCAGGCGCGTATCGCCTATCGTTGGTGCTTTCACCGTTACTTCCTTCTAACACGCCACCTGTTATAGGAGCGCTGCACGAGAATATCTCTCCATTTCTCGAATGTTCCATACCGGGGACAGCGACAGGAGCGCTCGGTGGCGGTGGCCCTGGCGAAAATATGCTCTGCACGTGAGGCTTCTTGTCCGACTTCATCGATACCAAAGTCATCTGCTCGTCCGCTTCCTCTTTGATCACTCCAATCCTCATCGAGCCACCCCCCGCTGCGTGGAATTTATTATTTAGCGCAACGGAAATAAGAATATATAATAAGAGTGGAATCGAATATTCGTGTAATAATATATAAACATCGATGAAAGTTTGCCAACGTACCAACGATTCGATTTTGCAACGAGGCTGCAGAGCTGGAAGTAGCGAGTCTACCGGGAGTCTTAGTACCGCTCGACGTGCCACCGTCTGGTCTGTCATCCTTGCTGAATAACCGTTTCAACACACTGGTCACGCTATTCACTCTCGTCAAAGAATCTCCGATTATGCTCGGAGTGGAGCCTCCGCTCAGGGTACGATCCCGAGTGCTCACTCTGCTCGCACTTCTACGAGTAAATAATATTCATTTCTTCTTACGATTCTTATGCACTCTAGATGTTTCAAATATTGTTTGTGTATATCAATGAGAACAAATATATATATATATATTATTACCTTGCTATTTTACCACTTTCAGTGGCGCTCCTGGTTATAAATTTTTTATAGAGGGGAACAAAAAAAGGAAGCAATAAGGTACAACATATTTGAATAAAGTGAAACGTTTTAATTTTAAAGGAAAACCAACCTTGACATTTTTCCAGTAGCTGTAAAGTGTATACCGGACTCGGCATCGTCTGCCATGTCGCTACGAAATTTTTGCGGGAAATCGGCCGCCATGTCATCGATCCTTGCAGTGGACGGTTGAAGCTCTTGCTGTGCCGCTGATAACTGAATACCGGCCGTCGACGGTTGTGGATGCTCTTCACGGAAAGCTTGAGCCGCCGCTGTATATGGAAGCTCCGTAGGAAATATCTCATCCCAATACTGGTCACGGATCAATTCTGGATGCTCGTGATGCATTTCGTCAACGATAAGGTAGCTAACCTTAATGCAATACGTTAGAGATATTAAATTAAACAGGAAAAAAAAAATATAGGGATATATATATATATATATAAATAATTCGTGATCTTGATTATATAACGTTGTATATACTTGTAAATTTCTATCGATTATCCAGTTCACTTCGAAATCGTCGTCATCCTCGCCGAATGGATTGATCAGTGTCTCGGCTACTTTCAACCAGCCCATGTAAAAAAAGAATTGCAACGTCGTGAATACTGGGAAATAGAGATCGATCGTTGACGTGGATGAATTCTGCACCCACTGACGACCCATCACGCTCGTTAAAAAATACGTATACACAGCCAATGTTACCACCTGCAAACGATTTATGTTATTAATAATTAATTCTGATTAATAATTAACCCTTTGCACTCCAGGCCAGTTTTACAATTTCAGACTCGGACCCGCGCATTGATGATGCGTTTGATGGAATTTCTTACAGCTAATTTATAATGATTTCATGCACAAATTAACGCATAAAATTTTTATATTTTAATATTTTATGTATCTTGACATATAAAGAAACAAAATTTATTGAATATTAAAATCTATATTGTTGTTTTGTATATTTTATGATATTTTATGATAATTTATGAAACAATTATCAAGACATCCTCGATTTGTTAGGGCAAGTAGAGCAATAGTACTTTTTCTTCTAACTTTTTTATCGGATAATTATTTGTTTCGCGCACTATTTCATTAATAAGTTCATCGTAAAAAATATTTAAAAAAAATCTAATAGTTCATTTTTATTCGAAGATACTTGCGGTCCTACAAATTTTTCACCGGGTACAAATTGTATTCTTCGCGATATATTTTCCGATTCTATGCGTGTTATCCATTTGGAATTTTCCCTGTCTTCCGCGATATCTTCACTTGATTTCTTTCACATTCTATCTATCTATTATTCTTATTTTTCGCCTTCTTATACTTCTTATTTCATCTCTATGTTCATCATTGCTCTCTCTACCGTTAATTTCTTCATAATAAAAGTAATTTTGTCATTCAATAACGAAAAATCAAACTCACCTTCGTTCCAACTAATTTCATTACCTTATTCCATGCTTACAAATCTCAAAAACTTTGAAAATAATATTTCTATCGTCATGACCAAAGATATCATTCGACTCGCGATCACGAACTAATTTGAGGTTAAAAATCTATCTATTTAACAATATATTAACAATATATTATTATATAACCTATTTAACAATATATTATTATATAATAATATATTATACACTTCATAAGATTATACGTAAAGAGGTTAGAAAATGAAGCGATATTTTAAAAAAATCAAACATAAACTGTCAAATTCAGACTAACGCTGAAGATGTTCGATTCACGATCACGATTTAATTTGAGGTTAAAAATCTTAGCCATTTAACAATATATTATTCTACATCTCATAAGATTATAAAGAAGTCAAACATAAACTATCAAACTTAGATTAATGCCCAAGATGTCATTTGACTCACAATCAGAGTCTAATTTGAAATAAAAAATCTAGCCATTTAACAATATATTATTCTACACTTCATAAGATTATAAAGAGGTTAGGAAAAGTTATGAAACGATATTCTAAAAAAATCAAACAAACTCAGACTAACGCCGAAGATGTCATTCGACTCACGATCACGAACTAATTCGAGGTTAAAAATCTACAATATATTAACAATATATTATTATATAACCTATTTAACAATATATTATTATATAACAATATATTATACACTTCATAAGATTATACGTAAAGAGGTTAGAAACCTATTTATGAAGCGATATTCTAAAAAAATCAAACATAAACTGTCAAACTCAGACTAACGCTGAAGATGTTCGATTCACGATCACGATTTAATTTGAGGTTAAAAATCTAGCCATTTAACAATATATTATTCTACATCTCATAAGATTATAAAGAAGTCAAACATAAATTATCAAACTTAGATTAATGCCCAAGATGTCATTTGACTCACAATCAGAGTCTAATTTGAAATAAAAAATCTAGCCATTTAACAATATATTATTCTACACTTCATAAGATTATAAAGATAGGAAAAGTTGATGAAGCGATATTCTAAAAAAATCAAACATAAACTCAGACTAACACCGAAGATGTCATTCGATTCACGATCACGAACTAATTTGAGGTTAAAAATCTACCTATTTAACAATATATATATATAACCTATTTAACAATATATTATTATATAACAATATATTATACACTTCATAAGATTATACGTAAAGAGGTTAGAAACCTATTTATGAAGCGATATTCTAAAAAAATCAAACATAAACTGTCAAATTCAGACGCCGAAGATGTCATTCGATTCACGATCACGAAGTAATTTGAGGTTAAAAATCTAGCCATTTAACAATATATTATTCTACACCTCATAAGATTATACATAAAGAGGTTAGGAACCTATTTATGAAGCGATATTCTAAAAAAATCAAACATAAATAAATATTATCGCCGCAACAATCCCAGTGATGTCGGAGAATCACCGTTGGAGAGCAAAGGGTTAAAATTCTATATGCGATATGTATTTGTGCGAGCATCTTAATACCTATGTGAATGAATACCTGAGTATAAACTAAAGGAACACTAATTGTATCGTAGTGCATAAGGCTACCGCAGAGACCGCGAAACTTGTTCAACTCGTCTATCAACGTTTTCACTGCGAAGTCGTCACGAATACGGCCCTCTTTCCTCGCACGTGTTACGATACTTGACGCCCATACTATTGGCAACCAATGCTTGCTAGGCTTAGGAAACTTGGCGTTCAGACTTTGGAATATGACCAATTCGTTCTCTAGCAACAAACCAGTCTCCACGAAATGCTCCAACGTGGGAAAACGTTTCTTCACTCGGGGCGACACCATCGCCAATACCAGCGTTAAACAGACGCACACGTATCTGAAAAGGAAAGAGAAGGAAATATTATGCTTGAAAAATTAGTTCAAACTAGCATCGATTGTTATTATAGAAATGGGTACATGTACGTACCTGACGATAGTTCGTCGCATTAATCGACCTCTCTCGTCATTCCCGTGTATAGTTGCCGATACGAAAACGGCGATCGAATCCGGCCACGGTATCACCATATATTGATTCCACCATCTGGTCATAACAATGCTAACGTAGAAGCCCAGGACGAAAGATAAAGGAATTAGATCGCTGTACTGGTTGCAGTATGTTACTATGGCCTCGAAGATCTTCTTCTGTTCGTCGTCCAGTATCAATCGGTAGATACTCGAAAGCGAATAATATATGAAGAGGAACAGGGCTAGGTCCAACCAGACCAGCTTGTATATGCTGGCTCGCCATCTGAAAGCGAGGGACGCGTAAACAATAATAATCGAGATCGATCGATCAATGAAATAGTTAGTTTCTTTAAAAATAATATTTAATAATCACGTTTTTAAAAAATACCCAATTGATATTTATGAATTTACGTAATACAATTATATCAAGAATACGACGACGATAATTCCAAGAAAACGTTCGCGATAATTTAGTTCGTCTAAATGGCTATTATGAATCTTAGTCTAGTCTAGTCTATTCTATTTCGACGGAATATATTAGAATAATATTAGAAACATTCCAAACGAATTGTGAGATCGTTTTTTTTTCCCCCCCTATTTCTTTGAGAAAAATCTCGCGATTACGTCAAAATCATTTCATAATTGTACTATCCTTGAATTTGACGATTCGCCGCGAAGTCTCGCACAATTCTCCATTGTTCTTACGCACTCTAATCGCAAGCAAAGTCGCGGTGTTTACGCGCGAACACGCGATCATATTATGTTCGAAATAATATGACCCGAGTAGTAACTAAACTGGGATAATAAATGAGAATCGATTCGCAGAGTTCTCGAAATGAATTACGACATGCCCGTCACAGACTTTAGATATATCGATTTACGCAATTATATTTTTATTCTCAAATGTGACTTGTAATCGAAAATTTATTCCTGGATGTAAGGTAATTTTATTAAAATTCATCATTATGGATGGATCATTAGATCGTTAAAAAGTTGTTATCGCAATAAGCGTTTCGATAATGATTAAAGTGAATACTAAAATACTAAAAATAAATAGTTAAAGCAAAATTACATGTGTAATTTTTTTTCGCGTTGATTTCTTCAAAGAATTCGTATCATTTGAACGAATTTTTCAAAAAGATAAATAATAAATATAATAAAATAATAAATAATAAATAAATTGTAAAACAAATTGATCAAAAGTGAAAAGAACGCAGAAATCGTTAGAAAGCGATAATAAAGAATTCTATGAAAAATAAAATATCGAAAGCAATACGAGTATAATTTAAAATATTGATTGCACGTGGCAAACTTGAAATGCCATTACATGGAATATAACGTGAGCGAAATAAAAATGGAAAAGTTAATAAAACTTGAAAATATAATAGTGTGAAAAAACTGAAATGAAAAAAAAAAATAAATCTCAATTAATATTTCATATATTTTTGAATGATGTTTATTTATTTTTAGATTAATATAAATAAAAACGACGAGAATAATTTTTTTAGCTTCTTCAAACAATGATTAAACGTGAAACGTATAAGCCCTTTGTGCGATTATTGACAAAGTATTGGGACATTAGCGATAAAATCTTCATTCGATGTAGGTATAATAGACGTATACTAGAAAAACAATTTTAGTTGCATTCCTTCAAATATACATGTGACACATTTTCTTCTAAGAACATTATGAAGTCATTCGAAATATCATTCAACAAACTTTCAATTATTTATCTAATAACTGATAATTGTGTCAAGTAAAAAATAAAGTCCACAATTTTAAAAATAGATTACAATCTTTGATTTTCAAAAATCTATCGTTTACTCTGTATACGAATATTATCTACCAAATGTTAATCATTACGATTATCTTCAATCAAAGTAAATAATACGATATTGCGATAGAATCGATAATTTTATAACACGAATATCAATACATAAGAACTCGGATAAAGCAAAAGAGAAAATATATTTCTCGCCCACGATCCTCTTTTTTGCACACAACATGTCAACCGAGTGAATCAAACTATCAAGCCAAACCGCTTACCTTAGGAGTAATTTTAGAAAGCAACCGAGACCTTTGCAGGTAGCGACTTCAGCAGTATAAGTGACTGTCATCTCTCACGATACACCTGCTGCGCTGAGAGACACGGCATAACCAACTATAATTGCTTTAAAAATCTCGATACCCTTGCCAGAATGTTGTCTAGGATCATCTGTTCCCGCACCACATTCTTTTCTTCGATTCTTCCCGGCCCGATACCTTTGGAACAATCACAGCTAGATATAGGATTAAATCGTGTTCGACCTTATCTCCGAACTCTTCCCTCTCGATGGACGGACAGTCGAGAAGATTTCGAAGGTCATTCTCAATACACTTTTCATACACGTCTTTTCTTACGTCTTCGTCCCTCTTTCGTTCTCTGTTGTTCGATTACGTAATTCGTGGCAATTGCATGATAGCGAAAACAGCGTTACTCAATGAAACAGTTCACTTTCGATTCAATTTACCTGTTATACGCTGCTCTTGATGCTCGAAAGAAATGGCATTAACCACGAAAACCCATTCTTTTGATCAATGTAAGTAATCAAAATATTTCAATAATCAACACAATCCAAATCTTAAATAATTTTAACTTATCACGTTTAAGTCTCTTCTTTCTTTGTTAAAAATTGTTATTTTCGTTGAAAATGTCGTATATTATCTTACTTGTTGGCACACTTTTGTCAGAATATGCACATTAAATACGTTTAAGATTACTTTTTTACTAGTTTCTTCAAAGTAACTATATTGTTTCTAAATTTTTAATGCAATTATACCTTACTTTTTTGTGTTATCAATAACTCACTGGTATTTTAATGCTTCCTTTCAAATCTTCGACAGTTGTTTCCGACTTATTATATTTTACACTTCGTATGAATACACTATTTATAAGAATGATAACATGTTTAAGAAGTCCATTGACTAGCAATACTAAAGTGTCACAATTTTTGTCTTCGCTTTAACTTCACAAGTGAATTTAGAATCTAGAATGTCAAACCTACCAACGATAATAATCAACTGATGATTCATTGATTATTATCGTTGTAGAAAATGAACTCTATTTTATAGCATTACTATAAAAATTCATTTTACTTTTATTATCTATATCATTCTTATCTATAAAAAATTAAAAAATTCAATGATATATAAATGATTTATCACATATGTACATACTACAATAGAATGTTCCATTGTTCAAACATCAAGATCTTTTGACTATTGTACCATATCTACAATTTTGATTTTTCTCTAATCTATCTTAACAGTCTTATCAAATTAATTCGTTTGTTGTCACGTTTCTTGATTCCTGGTAATGAACAATGCCAAACCACTTCCGTTTTGGGTGTAATGACTCATTTACGTTCTACATATATATTTTACGGATTCTATGCAAGTCGCGTTTTCCAACCGTTTCTTGCTAGCAACATAATGTAGTAATCATAAGAATAAACTGGATTAGTAACCTTGTGTATAGATCGTTATCATTATAGGCAATCCGTTATCGTGCCGTTGTCCTGCTTTACATTCACGATATCGAACTCGTGAAATTCGAAATGTTATATTTCTCGCTCTTACTATGTCGATCACTTTTTGTCATATACGAACACTTATATCGCTCATATTGATCATACAAGAAGATATATCATTCCTTTCGCATTTAACACTGTGATAACGTCACAAATGGCCTTGTACAAGTATTCCACTATAATATAAATTTAATGTTATATAATAATAAATATTATTTCTTGGACATTATATATGTTTATGTATAAATTATTATATATCATCAATCGGTAACTATAAATTCACATATGTTTCTTGATTTTTACGAAAGAATAAAAATTTAGATAAAAATCTCTTAAAATATAAATATTCGAAAGAAAATTTCAATTAATAAATAAAGTATATATAAATACAACTAACATATGCAATTGTTATTCTCATAAAATATCGGTTCACTTCTATTCATTTAACGCTTGATATTAATTATTACTTTTAATACATAGTTTAAAAGATTTCTGTTCCATTCTTAAAATCATGAGAATTATATAAATATATATATATAAGTTATTCTAAGAAAGAAATTAGAATGATGCAAAAGAAAAAAACATGGAATATTCATTTGTATATAAAAAATTAGTACTAATTTAACTTTATTGTATGCACTATATTTAGTGCATTATTAAAATCATTTAGCGTAAAACCAAGGATATCATCATGACCAATACTCATGGATGGAAAAAGTTTTATTTTTAAATGTTAAAAAAGAATATTAAAGCTCGATAAAAACAGTTTCTTTAATTCAAAGATTTGCAATTTAATATAATGTAATAAATAATAAATATTACGGCCTTTGTTAACATAACATACAATAGCCTATTTCCTTATCACGTGATTTTCTCATTGTTTGTTTGACAAAAACAAAGTACTCTAAAAACAATTTAAAAACACTGTGATATAAATCCGGTTACAGATCCTGTTCAGATCAAAAAACTCAAATACCGCATTTTCGAGTAAACCGTAACTTCATGACAAAGAAACTCAAATAATTCTTAAGAACATCTTATTTTTCACTTTGTCCTTCTATTCTGTACATGTTTTGTACAACTATACTACCAAATTCGTAACACAGTTGGTCATGAGTTTTCCGAAATACTAGGCACAATCGCGACCAAATAAAGCGGCTAGCAAATCATGAACGTAAACTCCACCTGTCTTTGACAGAAAGAATACTGAATATATGCTGAGATAGTCATTGCTGCAGCACGCTAAAAGCGCCCTCTCCCCTTTCCTTCCCCTAGCCCATCATCAACCTTTCAGCCTACCCCCACTGAGATTCCATGTTTCCGCATTAACCAGTGGTGCTCATTGCAACTATCAACAGATAAATCAGTTTGAAATCATGTTTAATCCGCTAAAATGAAAGAATAATTAAAAGTATAATTAAAAATATAATAAATAATTATATTATGAATTAAATGTAATTGATGAAAAAATTTGATGACAAATAATTGACGAATTAATGGAATATTCTTAATGATAATTATTCTTAGAAATATGATAATAATTAAAATTTGAAACATATCAATAAAATTGTAAAAATTATAAAGATAAATATAAATTCGAAATTATAAATGAAAGTATATATTAATCTTATATTATACATTAAAGGATTCTAGGAAAAAAGACAGATATTTGATATCAATGAAATATAAACGTTTGCAGAACACTTGATTTTACTGATAAATTATTATATACACGCATTTTTTTTTTTTATCATTTATCAAAATACTATATCAACATTTGTAACGATGTCCAATATACGTACACATTTAGTAAAACTTCTATGCTGGCAGATCATACGTGTTTCCAAAATTACTATTATACAATCACGAGTATAAAATCCATATACATTATATACTCGTACATATTACTAGCGCAAGTTTATAATTTATATAATATGAATTTCATAAAAGATAATATATATTTTACATATATATTTTTTTTTTTTTTTTTTTACAATATATATTCTTTTACACTTATATGAGAAATTGTGATGTAAATAAATTGATTCGATATACAACTGAAACATGACGTATAAACGTGTACTTTTCAATCGAATCACTAATTGATATCGTAACTATTGGATTAAAAGTTTTGGTCCCTAAAAGTCACAGCCATCAAATGCAATAAACAGTAGTAGTCTAGATTTAAGGCCACTCGATGAATAATAAAAATTAATATTAAACAATAACTAACATAATTTCTATAAATTATAGCATTTTTTTATGAAAAAATGCATATTAAAATTAATAATACATGTCCTGGCAATACTTTTACAATTCTTAGGAACAATAAAGATTGAAATGCGGCAAAGGACATCGCTTTTTTTCCAATAATTTTAATAGAATAGCACTATTAACAGTTTCAATTATTCTGTTATAACGTGCTGACAGTCTTATTTGATCCTTCAGGATATGTCATGCAACAATAGTTGTCAATGTATCGTGCTTAGTCCCCGTTCTGAAATATAAGAAAATCAAAAAATATGTAATTCAGATTCAAAAAATAAATTTGTATTCGTACCTTATAGTAGCATGTTGCGTTGAACGTGACCAACCTGCAATAAAACTATTTTCTCTTCTCTCCGCGATTCGTTGTCTATGACTGCCACTTTTGGATGGTGCATTAAACATAGCACTTTGCATAAAATCTGGATTTATTGTCGATTTTATAGTTTTATAGAATAATCTAAAAATAAATGATAATAATAAGGTATCTATAATTTAATTTTTATTATATTTTTTTAGTTATTAATATAAAAGATATAGAAATCATACCTAGGTAATAATGCCAAAACACAGGTAAGTATTACTGTAAGCCAATATGTATATCTCATGACAGCTATTTCCATTACCCAATATGAACATAAAAGACCCATACAATTAACGCAAACTACATTATAAATTAAACAAAAACCAAAAAATACTCCCAATGATCCCATTACGGCAAAGAGATGTATTATAGTCTAAAAATCACATCATATAATATGTAGTATGTCTAACGTAAAATAAATCTTTGAAATACAATAATTTCATACAAATATAATTTACCCAAGATCTAATTTCTATGGCAATATTAGTCAACATAGTAACAACGCAACATGTCATTATAGTAGTTCCAAATTCCCAAATGTCAATAACTGAATCATAGTATACCTAAAGAAAGAGATCATTTATAATTTAATTAAATCGGTATTAATTTATATTAATTTGTATTATCTTAAACTATCTCCAAACTGTACTAACACTCTCATTTATAAAGAAAATTACGATACTTTGATACAAAGCATCAGCAATGGTTATCCAAAATGTATGCGCTTGATATACTAATCCCAGACGTCCTCTTTTATACACATGAGGCATAGATAACAAAACACCTGATGAAGCCACTCGATCATATATGCCTAATACAAGTGGTGGCATAGACGTAAACAATAAATTATATAGCATTAAATAAATTTGATCCATCATAACAGTTCCAGTAAATCCGCAATAAATCTATAAAAATGACAAATCTATCAAAATCATCGTTACACGTCGAGAATTGAAATAATTTTTAAAAATAAAATAAACATAAGATATACCTGATACCAGAATAGAACGAAAACAAAGGTAGCGTTCTCGTAAAAGAAATATAAGATCATTCTAGACAATCGGTCGTAACACCAATGACCATGGAGCAAAAGAAGTCTGCTAAGCATCGAGAATCGTGAAATGGCAAAATCTGCAGCCATGACAGCTTGTGTACCTTCGTGTCCAGAAATACCAACTCCTACATCTGCAGTCTGTATCATGCTAACATCATTAGCACCATCACCAATCGCTAAAGTCCTCATTCCCAATTGTTCCTTTACTATACGTACTATATATGCCTGTATCATATGGTAAAAATTCACCATATGATATATTATATAATGAATATATGATATATAACGAATTCTAAAATTCTAAAAAACAGAGGCAAAACAAATCAATCATTCATTACCTTTTGAAGAGGTGTTGCTCTACAAGCTAATACACTAGAACACGTTTTTGTTAACTCAAGAAATAATCCAGTTAATCCTGATCGTGGATCAAGGATAACGGTTAAAGTTTTCCCATCAACGACAAGTGCACGTTGTCTCGGCCAAGAGCTATCTATTCTATGCGCCTCGTTTTCCGCTGGATCACGATTAAGCATCGTAATTTCCCTAATATTTTCTATTCCCTGAACCGTATTCTTTTTACGCGTAGATTCCAAATATCCATGAATTAAGGCCTCGGCAACAGACTTGGATCTTGCTTGTAACCACAACAATTGCATCGCAGGCGAAAAAAGACGCGCCGAATATGCAATGTTAACCGCGGTTTCTGGCTTGTCTCCTTTGAATTTAATATGAATCTAATAGTTATACGTTTCAAAGATCGCACGAGTGAGTCTCGTCAAATAGAAATACCTGTTAAAACCCAAACTACAATTCCTGCTGCCATTAAAGTGTCCATAGTCTCAGGTACTCCAGCTTGAAGTTTATCTTCAATTCCAGTAACACCTAACAGGGTCAAATGACATTCCAGATTTGCATAAGAATCTTTAATACGAAGTTCACGATTTTCCATTGCAAGTTCTGCTTCAGAATGCTTTTGACGCCAGTTCTCGTATTCTTGCACCGTTAGAGATTTCTTAGCCATTACCAAAGTTCGAAGACCTTGCCTTGCATACGATTGAAGGTATTGTCGAATTTTTATGGTCGTTATAGAATTTTCGTCTTGAGGAATTAGAGACGATAGTATCGTTGTGTCAGCACCTTTGCTATATAACACTACCTCATTAGTAAGAGGATGCCGTACTAAAATAGACATACATTTTCTATTCGAGTCAAATGGCAATATCTGAAATTTACGTTTCACAAATAAAATACATAAATAAATATATAAATTATTAATAATTCATGTAAAAGTCATATAAAAATGTAAAAAAACAAGAAAAGATAATGCACACGCACACACGCACACACACACTCACACATTTGTCCATAATAAACTTACTTGAAGAATCTCAAAACTAAGGATAGATTTATCCGGTAAGGAAACAATCGCGTTACGTGATGTTCGTTTAAGAAGTTTCACGTTATAAGCACGCGCTGCATTCACCAAAGCAAGCTCGTCCGGACTTTCCGCTTCGTAAATCGCGGCTCTAGGTAACAATTCGTCTCCGCTCTTTCCATCAATAACGGGACTTAATTGGCTGCGTCTTTTGTGCTCACCGTTCGGTGACAATTTTCTTCCAAGTAATCCTATTCCTAGGCTTGATATCGACGTTACGTTTAAGAATTTTGGCCTGCGAACAATTTATTTATTCATTCTAAAATTTATATTATAAATATATTATAAATATATAAATATATATAAATATATTATAAATTTAAAATTTATTATATAATTTATATATATTAAATATTATATTAAAATTTTTATATATATATATTATACACATATAAAAATCACACTTATAAATGGCAATTATAAATCACACCTCGACAATTTATTCGAGAGTTTGGTGGAATTGTGAAGAGCGGATTCAATTTCCACCATAGAAGAGATCGACGACACGTTTTCATCGGGGCTATTTGTAGATCGAAGTGTAGATAAAGGTATAATTGGCGAAGGGGTTAAACTTCGAGAATCTATCATTCTTGTGTACCTGAAACGAATACAAATGATACAAATATAAAGAATTAATAAAGGAATAAAAAAAAAAAGAAATCGTACCTTCCAGTTTCTTCGTTGCCGTTCTTCCGAGGCTCTTCGATCACTCCGCTCGAGTTCATGGTGTCGTAATGAGGTTGAGAATTGACCACAACCGTATTACATATCGCCAATACGATTAGAAATTCTTGAAGATGTTGCCTAAATGTACCTATAAGAAGATCTTCCTTCAATCGCGAAGAAGGTATCAAATTTTCACCATCTCCGCCGTGCGAATAATCCTGTCCACCAACGGCGCACCGTCTAAACAGCATTTTATTTTCAGTGAGCGTGCCAGTTTTATCAGAGAATATATACTGCACCTATATTAAGAATAAAAAAAAAAAAAAAAGAAGAAAAAAAAAAAGGGAAAAANAAAAAAAAAAAAAAAAAAAAAGAAAAGAAAACAATTCCCCTCTTCATCGAGATCATCGTGGTGAAATGGTATGGAATAGAAATCGATCATGTCTCACCCACCTGACCCAATTCCTCTGTAATGTTGAGCGCACGGCATTCGGCCGAGCGTCCCGTCTCCGAGTCGTAAAGGGCGACATCGTGTCCAATGTGATAAACCTGGCCAACTTTCGCCATCTCGAGAGTGACGTAAAGGCTTAAAGGTATCATTACTTGGAGAATAATGACGAACGTCCAGAACGTTAGCATACTTTCGTAATAAGCATCCTGGAGGATCGGTATGAACGGGACAAACGTTAAATCGGAATATTCGGATAGCCAGAAACGGCAACCGGCCGCCCCTATCACGCACAAAACAATTAAAATCGCCACACACCATATAACGTCGCTGTTCATCCGTTTCTCCAATCTTGAACGCTGAAAAAACATACATATCCCTCTCCTCTTTATATATATATATATATATTTTATATGACAAATTTTAATTTATCAATTATTTATTTAAAAAAAAAAAATACTTTCGTCACATTATTTCCCTCCTTATCAATCAAATTCAGATTAACAATAATTAATATCGCTCTACCTTATACCTAGGTCCGCCATGGTTAAGCATAGCTTTCGTTTCATGGCCGGCATATATCACTATACCCTCGACGAAATCCGTATTTTTTAACAAACACTGCCTCAGCAAAAGATTCTCCGTGGAAACGGGTACTCTCCCACCGTTCGGATGCACCACAGCTCCGTGGAACCTGCAATTTTCCCGTATCTTATATTATATTATATTATTATATTATATTATATTATTATATTATATGTGTATATATATATATATATCCTCGAATAGGGATATACAGGAAAGCTCACCGATATATCCTGGTGCTTGGTTGATCGACCTCGATCACGGAACGAAACTTGGCCGGTTGAAACGTGTCCCGAAGATCGACGAAACCTCTGACGACCTGCCGCTCCTTCAAATTCGTCTCGCCGTCGAGATTGCACGTGTCGATGTACGCTACGCCCTGAGGATCGCTGCTTCGTAGAAGCAGCAGATCGGCCGGCACGAGTTCGTTGTTCGAGAGGTGAACCAGGTCACCGACCTTCACATCTTTCCACGCTACCTTTGCATACCTGTCGTCCTCGCTGTAATCACGCGCACGTTATACAGAAAAAATTTGATGTTTATTATTCCCTCTTATATATAAATGAGAAATTTGGAATGGAAAAGGGAAAAAAGAAAAAGGAAATGATTTATGAAAGGGGATTTAAATTAAATTGTATACGAGATGTATACAAAGTGCTTGATTATATTCGTTTAAAGTTAAACAATAGTTCAATTTTCTTCGTAAGCGACTAGTGGAACTCGAGTACGAGATCTTCGCAATCGACGACAATTGTTGATATATATGTATATATATATGTATGTATGTATGTAACAATAACCAAACTGTCACAGCGGTCAAACATCTATTATTTCTTAATTGATTGTCATTGTCGTTGTTCAACGTTTCTAGTCACAAGATGTTTATTGATGAAAAAATTGTCAAATAGGGTTTGACTCTGTGTAATGTAAAAAATGTGAATAAAAGAAAAAAAGAGAAACTTAATGCTGATCATTTGAATTATATCATAAATGAAGATTAAATTCTATGGTTTAATCATAATTTTTTTGCTCAATGAATACATTATTCAAAATTGTACAGTTCTTGATCTTATTATTGATTAAATTTTTGCATAGAACGTGCAGAGAATCGGTGTATTTTTAGATTCATGAAGCAAGCATTTAAACGGATTAGACAAGGCCACGATATCCCGTTAAATTAACAATTTTCCTTGTTTGCATTATATTTTTTATTTAAACGATTATAGTAAAATGAAATAATCATTTTAATACAAAAGGGATTGTTTATTAATTTGAAATAAATAAATAAATAAATAAATTCAAGATAGAGATAATTAAGATAATTTATAGAGAAAATAATTTCAACATACACTTTTTGATTTTTGGACCGACTGAGATTTCTTCGTTTTCTTTTTCTCGCGTTCGTATATACGCGAGAAACGAATAAATCTGACCTAGACTTCCATTTAAGAGGTCGCCATTATGCGTCCTTTTTTGTCGCCAGATAAGAATCATTGATCTCTATAACCTTTATAACCTAACTGGAACCGTTTACTTTATATGTTCTTCTACTTGTTTTAACCTAATGCATATATATATGCTTCGAGGAATGTACATATAAAAATACATCTATTATTAGAAGGAACAAGAATATAATATCGAAACGTATTATCAACGTAAAATATTAAATTTATTTTTTTTTTTAATATATAGTAAAATTGTTCTTGCATTTTAATTATTACAGCAATAAGTCAAAGATTTAAAATACTCGGAAATAAAATTAATTTTCACTATTAATTCTTTCTTTATTTTAGAATTAAATTAACCTGTACTTTGTTTGAGAACAAAGATTTATATATAAATATATAACTTATGTGACGTCAAGAATAAAAGAAGGAAAAATTCGATGTATATTAATTTATAACTCGCATCTGAAATAAATCGAATTTTTAACCGTTTTTAAAATAATCGTCTTTTTAACGACGATCGAAGTTCATAAAATTGCACACACAAGAATTTGACATTTTTCTTTCGTTCTCGAGATTGTTCCGGGAAAAACACCGATTTAATATTATTATTCTTCGACAATATAAATTTAACAAGTTTATCACTTTAAAAAAGTCTTATCATATTTTCGTATTTAAAATAGATTCTCACGTATTATTTCTCGCGTATCCGATATTAATTATCGATTTATAGAAGGCATATTTTAAGCAAATGGAGTATTCCATTCATAATCAATTTATTACAAATACGTTTCCGTTCACAATGAGAAGTCTGGCTCGTTTAAATTTTAATAATAAGCGAAGCGCCGATGAATCGAACACGATGGCAAGGTAGGTAGCCTTAGAAATTCTTTCGTCTAACACATTTTTGTTATATGTGTGTATATATATAACGTGCTATTAAATATGTATAATAATAGTTTCACACAATTTTTTCTCCAGTAATAATTATTCTAGAAAAATATTAAAATGATATTTATCAATGATATTTGTTTGGTTGTAGATAATTTAACAAAAAATTTCCAACGTGCGAATTAACACGAAACTATTGATAAAAAAATTTCAAAGGATTCGTTATTCCCGATCGATCATGTTATCTAACGAAAGAATTCCAACAAAATAGTTTCTTTAAACTTTGTTTCGCTCCGTCTTTTTACTAGTATATTTATATTATTTTTCTTCCATTGAATTATCAATTCCATTGACATTATTATAATTATGCAAAAATAAAAATTGCTGATAATAATTTTAAATCGTTAATAAATATGTATTAACTTTTGAGATACTTATTATCGACTTATATTATCATTTTTTAATTTAATTTTTTTAAAAATGAATGATCACTTTTTTTTTTTGAAAATAAATGATCATTTTAAGAAATTTGAATCTTTATCGAAAGGATTCGATTATCGAATCTTTCCGTGCACTATCGAAATCGTCTCTCGAATGATCTCGAAAAAAATGCATAGGTATCTTATTCATTACGCGAAATCAATTTATATTTTTGTTGCAATATCTTACTTATCGTGGCATTATTTGTGACAATAAAAAATTTAATCGTGATAAAAATTGATAAGAATGAAACGATGCACCTGGGAAAAGTCATTAAGATTCTCGTAACTGATTGAAGAACGAAATAAATTAATTACGAATATTTTACGTTTCAACGTTTCAATTTTACGTTAAAGGTGGATAGAAAGACGTGGAAATGGGTAATTATCGACAAATTGCATTGCATCGACAAATGTGTTATCATTCGTATCCAGGAAATGATCGAGGAAAATAGTTCACTGGTTTTATTCGTAGATTTTCCTTTTTTTTTTTTTTTTTATTTTTCGTCTTCAATTAACGCGAATTTTCAACAAACGACAATATTTACAAATCTTTTTACGTTTAAATTTTTGTTAAGTTAAAATGGTAATCGTTTGGAAACTAAGAGAAAAATACATTTTTACGAACACTCATGTTTTAAGAAACTGCATTGCGAATTATTTGACGCGATAACGACAACAATGTGGTAAACAAGAGATATCGATCTTACCTGTGGTTCCACGTGAACCACGTGACATGTTTTAAAAAAAATGATCGAATTTGTAAAACAAAGATATTTGTACAATAATTTCTGTAATTTTTTGTACTAGAATAAATAAATTACATTCATATATGATACATAATATTTATTTTGTATATCACACGCGACTTTTGCAAGTAGGAAATGTATTCTTTTCATTTTAAAATATATATAAAAACTACTTTGACATGAAAAGTTAATCTATAATATATACGTTACAAACAATCATTTTTCTATATAAACTGAAAGAAAGTTTTTTCTCTTGGTAAAATTATTGAAACGATTTAACGTATAAATTCAGATAATAGTTTGAGAAGGGTATGGAATTAGAATCGCGTGACAGTATCTCACGAGGGAATGCCACGTCGCGCTATATAACGATATACAAGAGCTCGCGACCCACATAACCTCGAACCAGTCAAAGTGTATTAATCGAACTGGAATTTGTGGCGAAGGTCTGCTTGTTCTTGACATTGCAGAGTATCGCGTGGAAAGCGGTGTGACTGACTGTCGATCTCGTCACTGAACGAAATTAAACGAGAGGCCTAAAGAAGGTCATCGAGCGCGTGCGTGTAACCGCGTATTAAGTGGGTAAAGGTCGTAAGATATACACGTTACCATGGAAGAAAGAAAGAAAGAAAGAAAGAACTTCTCGTTGTATCGGTCTGTATCTGGTGCTCGAGTTCATACTGATTCTTTTAACTGCGATTGAACACGTAAATACGCCCCCGCTTAAACGTTAACAAGATTCGATTAACAGTAT